CATGATTTCAGGAATAGTGTTTGACTTTCAATGTTACATTCAGAATTCAAAGATAACATTTGGTCACCAGAGGTCAAATCAGTCCAGTGCAACATTATGCTGTCATGGGTAAGATTTTTCTTACAAAGTTTAAAGTGTGAGCTTTGTCCAGAGGTAAGGTTGATTCAAGGGTAAATTGCCAAGGGGTATTAGAGTTTGTTTAAGGGATAGTTTTTGTCCCTGAAACAATGGTAAGTTGTTTCAGGGAAACTACAGTACATTCAGTAACATGATTGCTTCAGGGATAGCATTGTACCCCTGGAGTGAGATTGTTTCATTGACAGCATAGTGTCAGTGGTAAGGTTGTTTCAGGAATAGCTCTGTCCAATGGATGGCATTGTGCCTTGAGCAGTAAGGTTGTTTCAGGAATAGTATTGTCCTAGGTGTAAGATTGTTTCATGGTCAGCACTGCCCCAGGAGTGGCTTTGTGCTTTCAGAGGTAAGGTCCTTTCTAGATATCCTTTACCCAAGAGTCATTGTGGCTTCAGGGGTAAGGTTGTGTCAGAGGTAGCATTGTCCCAGGTTTGGTACTGTGTCTTCAGGTGTTAGGTTGATTCTGGGTAGGATTGTCCCTGGGCAGGCATTGTGGCTTCACAGGTAAGTTTGATTCAGATTGAATGTACCTCAAGGGGTAAGGTTGTTTCTGTGATAGTATTGTCTGTGTCATGGGTGGCTTTGTCCTAAGAGTAGAATTGTGTCTTCAGATGTAAGGCTGTGTAATGGATAACTTTGTCCCAGGGGTTGCATTGTGTCTTCAATGGTAAGGTTGTGTCATGGACAACTTTGTCCCAGGGGTAGCATTGTGTCCACAGGTGTAAGGTTGTGTCATGGACAACTTTATCCCAAGAGTAGAATTGTGTCTTCAGATGTAAGGCTGTGCATTGGACAACTTTGTCCCAGGGGTTGCATTGTGTCCACAGGTGTAAGGCTGTGTAATGGACAACTTTGTCCCAAGAGTAGAATTTTGTCATGTCTTCAGGGGTAAGTTTGTGTCACAGATGGCATCATTCCAGGAGTAGCATTGTATTGTTCTTCAGACGTAAGGCTGTGTAATGGACAACTTTGTCCCAGGTGTAGCATTGTGTTCACAGGTGTAAGGTTGTGTCATGGATGACTTTGTCCCAGGGGTTGCATTGTGTCTTCAATGGTAAGGTTGTGTCATAGATGACTTTGTCCCAGGGGTAGCATTGTGTCCACAGGTGTAAAGTTGTGTCATGGATGACTTTGTCCCAGGGGTAGCATTGTGTCCACAGGTGTAAGGTTGTGTCATGGATGATTTTTCCCAGGGGTAGCATTGTGTCCACAGGTGTAAAGTTGTGTCATGGATGACTTTGTCCCAGGGGTAGCATTGTGTCCACAGGTGTAAGGTTGTGTCATGGATGACTTTGTCCCAGGGGAAGCATTGTGTCCACAGGTGTAAGGTTGTGTCATGGATGACTTTGTCCCAGGGGTAGCATGGTGTCTTCAGATGTAAGGTTGTGTCATGGATGGCTGTCTCAGGGGTAGCATTGTGTCTTCAATGGTAAGGTTGTGTCATGGATGACGTAGTCCTAGGGGTAGCATTGTGTCTACAGGTGTAAAGTTGTGTCATGGACGACTTTGTCCCAAGAGTAGAATTGTGTCTTCAATGGTAAGGTTATGTCATGGACGGCTTTGTCCCAGGGGTAGCATTGTGTCTTCAATTGTAAGGTTGTTTCATGGACGGCTTTGTCCCAGGGGAAGCATTGTGTCTTCAATGGTAAGGTTTTGTCATGGATGACTTTGTCCCAGGGGTAGCACTGTGTCCACAGGTGTAAGGTTGTGTCATGGATGACTTTGTCCCAGGGGTAGCATTGTGTGCACAGGTGTAAGGTTGCGTCATGGACAGCTTTGTCTCAGGGGTAGCATTGTGTCCACAGGTGTAAGGTTGTGTAATTGACAACTTTGTCCTAGGGGTAGCATTGTGTCCACATGTGTAAGGTCGTGTCATGGATGACTTTGTCCCAGAGGCAGCATTGTGTCTTCAATGGTAAGGTTGTGTCATGGACAACTTTGTCCCAGGGGTAGCATTGTGTCCACAGGTGTAAGGTTGTGTCATGGATGACTTTGTCCCAGGGGTAGCATTGTGTCCACAGGTGTAAGGTTGTGTCATGGACAGCTTTGTCTCAGGGGTAGCATTGTGTCCACAGGTGTAAGGTTGTGTAATGGACAACTTTGTCCTAGGGGTAGCATTGTGTCCACAGGTGTAAGGTCGTGTCATGGATGACTTTGTTGCAGAGGTAGCATTTTGTCCACAGGTGTAAGGTTGTGTCATGGATGACTTTGTCCCAGGGGGAGCATTGTGTCCACAGGTGTAAGGTTGTGTCATGTATGACTTTGTCCCAGGGGGAGCATTGTGTCCACAGGTGTAAGGTTGCATCATGGATGACTTTGTCCCAGAGGCAGCATTGTGTCTTCAATGGTAAGGTTGTGTCATGGACAACTTTGTCCCAGGGGTAGCATTGTGTCCACAGGTGTAAGGTTGTGTCATGGATGACTTTGTTGCAGAGGTAGCATTTTGTCCAAAGGTGTAAGGTTGTGTCATGGATGACTTTGTCCCAGGGGCAGCATTGTGTCCACAGGTGTAAAGTTGTGTCATGGATGACTTTGTCCCAGGGGTAGCATTGTGTCTTCAGATGTAAGGTTGTGTCATGGATGGCTGTCTCAGGGGTAGCATTGTGTCTTCAATGGTAAGGTTGTGTCATGGATGACTTTGTCCCAGGTGTAGCATTGTGTCCACAGGTGTAGGCTTCAGGATAATACAGGTAATGGTATATTAAAGATAGAGTATACATCGTTCTTATAGGTAATGATGTTCCTACAGGCTTAATATATTGCTTATAACTTTGTGCATGTTATGTGGAGCCTTGGGACCAGAGAAACAGTCTATCCTTTGTAACACTGAGAACTATTCTTCCCATGTAACTCTTTGAGCCACCAAATTAGTAAAACTTCCTGGAGAAATGTTCATCAACACACAAGATATCTAATCAAATGCCTATCTTACATAATTTGGTTGAAATAGATGTTAATTGTGCTTGCCATACTGCACATCAATTTCTGTCAGTATCGCATTACTGTTTCTATGTCTACATATTATTGAATTCTCTTACATCTCATATCCACATAGATTCACAACACTTTGTTTTACTAGGTCTTCTGACACGAAGAGTCGTGCATCATGTGTAAATGTTTTCTTTAAAACCCTACTCCTCTTCCATACCTGGGCGGACTTCAATCAAATTTGGTCTGATGCATGATTAGCTGAGGGTTATCATTTTCTAAATTCAGAATTTTTATTCAACCCCTGGGGGTTGAGAGACTCCTAGTTAATAGGAATGACCTTGACTCACTTGAAAGGTCACAAGGATCAAATATGTTAAAATCTTTAAATGACTTCTTCTCAATAATAAAAGGGGCAAGGATGATGATATTAGGTCTGCAGCATAGCATGCTAGCCAGTATTAAGGGCTACCAACTTTGTTGATATGATTAACATTAACCTACTTTCAAGGTCACATGTATCAAATGTGATAAAATGTTTAAATGACTTCTTCTCAATAACTATTGAACCAGTATGATGATATTGGAAAACTTTTGAGGTCACAGGTATCAAATGTGATAAAATGTTTAAATGACTTCTTCTCAATAACTATTGAACCAGTATGATGATATTGGAAAACTTTTGAGGTCACAGGTATCAAATGTGATAAAATGTTTAAATGACTTCTTCTCAATAACTAAAAGGACCATGGTGCTGATATTGATAAACTTTCAAGGCCACGGGGGTCAAATGTGTTGAAATGCTTAAGTAACTTCTTCTCAATAACTGAAAGGCCAAGGGTCTTGATATTGGGCCTGTAGCTTTCTCAACTAACAATATGTCTGAAGTAATGGTAATTGTGTAGTGCAGGTATAAAGAATAGGATTTCAAGTTTGTAGAAAATGTCTTCATGAACCAACCAATGTCTTTTTGTTAAGCTGTAGAGTTGCTGAGCAAAACCAGACAATTAACCAGAATTGGTATGCCCCATTTTCTCTGTGACACTAAGAATGTATTTGAATCATGAAAGGCTATCTCAAACTCTCGCATTGCTCAATATTGGTCCTTTTATCTATCACTGGTGACTTCAGAGATTTACATGAAGAAACAAGTGTCTATAATCTTAATGGACTATCGGTGTGTTAAAGTACAGCCGGAATTGATGTCAACATTATATTGTTGGCAATCACATACCTACCTAGGCAACTGATGATAATAAGACAGTCAATTCATATCTATTTATTTATATATTCACCTATTTATTGGGAGTTCAGTGGTCACTGATCCTTTCATCCACAAACTGTAACAGAATCAGAAATTTGAGGGTTTTTTTTACAATAATTTATTTAGATATATTTCATGAACTCAAAAGGAATTATAAATACATGGGACAAATTGTGGACAACAACTCTAAGGGCAGTACTTTGAATGCATTCTCCCTGAAAAGACGGTAACATATAATGGTTAATGAATTTCCTGTTACAAAAGGGCTATTTCTAACATCGGTTTTTTTCATACATACCCAATTTAATTGTTATGGCTTGTTATATCCATCAAACCACATGCAGTCTTTCTAAATTTTTCATGTAGGAACTTAAAACTTGATTATATTCTAGATGAACACTGCGTTGAGGTAAAATATGTATCCAGATCAACTGAATCGACCCAACCACAAAAATGCAGGGTAACATGGAACGTAATTACTGTTATAAGGTAGCATAGTTTACATAATCATACCAAAACAAGGTAAAGTTGGATTTATGAATGTAACTATCAATAATTATTCTAAAGTTCAACCGACTGGAAAGCTTTATATCTTACTACTTTGTCATTTTCTATATATGTACATGTTGAGGAGATCCCAAAAATATCTTCCGAGGTCATCATGGTTGAGCAATTGATGACGTCACGAGAAATAGTCAAGATGGCGGAGACCGAGTTGAACGTCGATAGCTTGATATCGCGCCTTTTGGAAGGTAGTTTATCGTTTCAATGGAACGCACAACGATTTAAGATACTTTCTTGTGTCCACAAGAATTTCTTCACTGCTACATACATAGCAAAATTTGATATTGTATTGGTATCTTACATCCTTTTACACCCAGGCACTTATTCTTCCTGTTTCTTTTCGTCCCGCCTCGAAATGCATTTTGTTGTTGACAACACCGTAATGAAGTTGGCCTTTTAGGAATCCAAACGTTTTGTTCAATTAGGGTATGACTTAAAATAATATGTGAAGATCCCATACATTTATGAAAGACGAAATGCACGAGTTTGTTTACCTCCATTGCTGATCATGTCTATTTTTGGAAAACTCGTATGTTAGACCTGCTGTCAGACGTGATTTTGTTGATAAACAAATTTTCCAGACATGTCGCGTTTGTGGAAACGCCTCAGCCCTTGTGGTGCAATGAAAGGCTGTAGTTCCTGGTGTAAAACAAATATAATGCTGATTCTCATTTTCTGTCTCCTTAAGTTTGGAAATACTTCAGTATGTCAAATATAAGTGTTCATACACTGCTCACAAGTTAAAGATTGGGATAAATACTGCCCATCAGCTTTAGGGTGAAAATCACTTTTACCCTCCTCTTGTCATCACAGTCTTATCTTAACCTACTTCAGATGCTATATGCCACCAATTTCATATTAAAGTCCTTTATCAGACTCCGACCTGAGTCCCAAATTGCCAAGTATGCCATCCAGTCTTTTGTTAGTAATTTTATAATACGAAATAAGGTAAAATCAAAACGCTCTTTGCTTCATACTGTCAGAATAATATGAAACTTCAAGCTTGTTTTTTGAAAACCATGTTATGGTAATGTATTTGAGTTCCATGATGTAACTCCTAATTTAATGCTAATAGGTGCAATAAATCCTTATTTTATGCTTATTTTAATCCTTTAATGTTTAATCTTACAGTTCGAGGATGCAGACCAGGAAAAACTGTTCAAATGACAGAGGCAGAAGTGAGAGGATTGTGTCTTAAGTCACGTGAAATCTTCCTCAGTCAGCCTATCCTACTAGAGCTGGAGGCTCCATTGAAAATATGTGGTTTGTATGATTCATTGCCTATTCATTTATTCTTGCATCTTATGTCATAGATTGTCATTACTATATCTGGAGAAGTGTTTGATGGTTTTAAAATTATGTGTGTATTTGCCTTGGTCCCTAATTGTGCTTAGTTCATTTTTACACTGATTGGAAAAACAACATGGATGACAGGTGGCCATCTTGGTCATTGACACTTATAGATTATAAGTGCTCTCCCTGCCGAAGTACTGGATGGATATTTCTCAAATTCCTTAAATAGATTTTCCATTGTCCATAGTTGTTCCCCTTCAAATTCTGGATTGACCCCCACCCCTACCCCCCCCCCCCCCCCCCCCCCCCCCCCAAAAAAAAAAAAACCAAAACAAAACAGGCTGACAGGAGGCCATCTTTGATTTGGACTATGAACATTTGCTATCACTACTTCTTGAGAAGGACAAGATGCATCCTTCTCAAATTTCATATGTAGGTTCTCCTTTGTCCCTACTTTTGTTCTATTGATTTTTGGACTGCTGGTAGGCTGATAGAAGGTAAATCATGGATTTTCACAATGAAATTTTGTTACAGCCCTCTGTTGAAAAATACTGGATGGGTTGTTCCCAAATTTTATATGTAAGTTATCCTTGCACAACAGTTGTGCTGGTTTGATTTTCGGACTGATTACAAGAAACAAAATGGCCAACAGGTGACCATCTTGAAATTGATATTTTAAGAGTATTATCACTAATTAATCCTGGAGAAAATTTAAAATTCCACATATAATCAAGAAAGAGAGAAAGAAAGATAAAAGAGGGAAAAAGTCTTTTAAAGAACAAATACAGATAAAGCAGTGATGAGTGAAAAGATCCCACAGGGATCTTGTGTATTATCAAAGCCTTAAAAAATGCATAAACAGTATGTTTGTCACTGATGCTACAAAGAGCAGAAATCAGAGCTACTGATAACACTGGATTTTCGATGGAGAATTTCTACTAATTATATTAATTAATAGTACATTCTTTGTAAATCTTGTTAGAGTTTTATGGTGATGATGCAGATATAGTAGAGTTTATGATTAAGATCAAGTCTATTTTTAATGGTATTCCATATGAGGAATATTGAAAAAATGTTTGCATATTCATGTAAGACTTCCTTGTTCCTTTCCAGGTGATATCCATGGACAGTACACAGACCTATTGCGACTGTTTGAGTATGGAGGATTCCCCCCAGAATCCAACTATTTGTTTCTAGGCGATTATGTAGACAGAGGAAAACAATCCTTGGAAACAATTTGCTTACTTCTTGCTTACAAAATTAAATACCCAGAGAATTTCTTCCTTTTACGTGGAAACCATGAATGTGCAAGTATCAACAGAATATATGGATTTTATGATGAATGTGAGTATTAATGTATGCTCAACAGTATTCTCAACTTCTGTCATGTCACAGAAATCCTAGAAATGATATGGTTTAGGGAAAACGGAAGAATTCTAAAATACTGTATTTAATGATATATTTTGTTACCAGGCATTACCTGTTATGATAAATGATGTGTTTCTCTTTTAATTTATTTGTCTGTTTACATTTGTTTCTGTTTGTATAACTTTTGACATCTTCACAAAACTTTACTGAGAAGTCTGATTTTACAGTATAGATCACTCTTGTAGAAATAGAATGTTATTCAGAAAGACAGTACAGTACTGGAGTGAAGTTCTGTGGAAACTCAGTTTCTGTCCAACATCCAAATGCAAACTACAGTACTTTCCGAGTTATAAGCTGCACTGGTATATAAGCTGCAGAGCCGATTTTTACAGATTTTTTTCATTTGATCCACATATTAGCCGCACCCTTTTTTACAAAGTAACTGTTACATTGACCAAAGTTTGTTAATATAACAGATGAGAGAGGGGAGTTTCTCAAGACTGTCATTAAAACATTTCATACAATTTGCAAATGAATTATGCACAGATAATCCTTTAATAAAATAGCGAATATCGAACTCATTTGGCTTGGGTGCCTTCACAGATTGTCTATGCACAGATATAGGGCCTAATGTTATGTACAGTTTACTAAACAATCCCTCCATCGGCGTCTGTGCTGTTAGATATTAATGAAGACCCATGCATGCTGACCAAATTCTTACAGTCCCATATTATTTCTCCTTGTAAGTTACACAAAGTCATTCATATTGTAAACAACCATGGTGGTCGTTCTAGAATTTGACCTATAACCTGATGGCCTATCAATCCCAGGATGCAAAAGACAAGTTGTAAACTTCTGCTATGGCTTAAAAAAACAGCGGAAGTCTAGAGGATATTATTGTGATTCATATTAAAAGGTGTGATTGATTAAGTCAACAAGAATGTTATTTCAATTTTGATCTTCAAATCCTCCTGTATAGATCCCACACCGTGCCTCATTGGTATGTACATAGCAGTCAAAAAACAAATTGTGGTATATCTACTTATGTGTGTTTCATTTCCTCTTTCTTTTTATTAAAGTTGTTTATTTGGTGTTGTAGGCAAAAGAAGATTTAACGTAAAGCTATGGAAGACATTTACAGATTGCTTCAACTGTTTACCAATAGCAGCCATTATTGATGAAAAGATCTTCTGTTGTCATGGTGGTATGTAAAGATATACTCTGCTACTTCATGGTAAAGGTTATAAGTCTGATTGATTGTATGAAGGGAAGAATTACAGTTTTCACTCTGAGACCAGATAACTTCTGTCATAATACATTTCACTTCTGCCTTTGCTTTGCTTGGGCCTCTTCAAAATTTGATTACATATTTCAGCTCTGTCTTTGTGAAGCATTTAAGTTAAATATGAACAGAAGAACAGTAAGAAATGTCTAGACACTGTGGTTATTACATTTTATTGACATTTTCAATGTGCAGGACCATACAAGTAACCACACTCTTAACTTGCTCGCTGGTTAACTTGTTGGTATTTGGCCTCATTGGGAGATTTCTCTTGTCAGAAAGCATCTTTGTTTATAATTCATTGAACTGAAAACTCTTGAAATATATTTTTTACATCCTCGTGGCTACTTTAGATCTTATTGCATGATAAAGTGTTTTTTAAGCAACCACATAATGTAATGAACTGTATCTGGTGTTAATGGCTGTCTAGTGAAATTATATATATTTTTTTGCTATTATATTATATTAACCAAGTTATTTGATGTGACAGTGTGCCATCAATTAGTGTCAGCAAACATTTTAACACTTGGCCAGTAAATCTGGTTACTGATTAACAATATTGTAAGCCCAATACATTGAGGGTCACCAGTCAAAATGTGAAGTGCCAGGTTGGTGCATGGTTCCGAGTTCTTGGGTTAATGAAAATAGTTAGAACAACAATGGTACAGCATCTGTCACCAATTGTCACCTGTTGTCTATCTTCATTTATCTTTAAAGAATTTCTTTTCAATAATAATTTAAAGACATAGTTCAGCATGTTTTTGCCAGTAGTATGCTTGGAAGATGACCTTCCCCTCCCCTCCGAAATAACCGTTCCCCAACCCCCAACCCCACCCCAAATAAACCAAAAAAAACCCCAGCAAAGATAAGAACTATAATCATTATGAGGAGTAACTGGAATATGAAACTATTAAGATCAGTATTATCATTATGAGGAGTAACTGGAATATGTAACTATTAAGATTAGTATAATCATTATGAGGAGTAACTGGAATATGTAACTATTAAGATTAGTATAATCATTATGAGGAGTAACTAGTATTTGTTATTATGAAGATGTTATTATTAGGGGTAGTTAATACAAATCATCAAATACATTGGAGTGATGGTGTGTCTCTTATACAAATATATTTTCATTACAGGTCTGTCACCAGATCTCCAGTCTATGGAGCAGATCCGGAGAATTATGCGTCCAACCGATGTACCTGATACAGGTAACCTCACTTGCATCCATTTTCAGCTTGGACATTAGTTTTGAGTTGATCTGAATTGAAATGAATGCCATCATTTTACTAGTTTTGATTGAATACTTTCAATGAAATTATATACATTCAATGTCAAATTTATAGGTTTGCTATGTGACCTGTTGTGGTCTGATCCTGACAAGGACGTCCAGGGCTGGGGAGAAAATGATCGTGGTGTGTCCTTTACGTTTGGAGCAGATGTTGTCAGCAAGTTTCTTAATCGTCATGACTTGGACTTGATTTGTCGTGCCCATCAAGTAAGTATCTTGTTAGGGGGGCAGGGGGTCTGTCTGTCCGTTTGTAGAAAAATTTTGCCTGGACAACTCCACCAAAACCACTGAATCGATTTCAATGAAACTACATAGGGATGTTGGGGACCATGTGAAGATGTGCATGCATTCTTTCTTTTCCAGCAAAATATCGGTTGCCATGGTAACCAGTCAAAATAAATAGGATTTTGTTTGAAAATTTTGTCTGAACAACTTCTCCTTAACTAATTTATTAGTTTCATTTTTACAACACATAAATGTTAGGTACAATGTTTAAATGTGTATATGCATTCCTTTTTGAACAAAAACTGTGTGGTTGCCTCGGTCACAGGTCGTTATAAAAAGAATTTTCGTTGAGTAAGTTCTTACTGACAGTGAACAGGGAGGATATTCACACTCTTTTGTATTGACCATGTAAATATGGACACATGTTGTTGGTCACAACTGTACATGACTTTCATTTAAAAATCAAGGCCACTACTAGAGAACACTGATTTTGTAAGTAAGGTCCAATATGCTTTGTATGTATAAAAACCCATTTGATCAATATATATGGAATGAGTGATAATCAACCTGCTCACAATAGGTATGATTAATCTGAAGGTCACAGGAAAAGAATAAACCTGCTGTATATCGTTGTGTGTTGTAAGAGGTGATAAATTGTAGGACATTCCTTGCACATTAGGATGGTATTTTCTATGATGTTTTCTACTTAAGGGAATGTCTTGTGCATTCTTCTGTGTCTGTCTACTACAGAGACATTAACCAAAATAGGTCAGCTGTTCCCATTCCAACACTTTGTGATCTTGATATCTTCCTTTCTTTCTTGTGTTTTACTTTCTGTGTGTATAGTATATAATCACTTTGTGCAAAGCTGGTGTACACAATATCTCATGAACCCTTGACCGACCATCAAAGTCTCAACAACACCAACAATTTAGATAATTTCACTTCTTTTTAGGTTGTAGAAGATGGGTATGAGTTTTTTGCCAAAAGACAGTTAGTGACCCTGTTTTCAGCACCAAACTACTGTGGAGAATTTGACAATGCAGGAGGCATGATGTCTGTGGATGAGACATTGATGTGCTCTTTTCAGGTAAGTGATGTTTGACTCACACATTGAAGTGTTGCAAGATACTCCAAGCTCTTAGTCTAAACAGAGATATCCTTAACCCACCTCAGGTGAACTGATATGAAGAATAATGTATACTTTTCCTATTTCAAATGCCAATGCAGTTGTTGATCTTCCTTGTGGTGTGGTTTCCAGATGGTACATTTGATTTGTTTACTTTTGTCAGTGATTCTTTAGCATATATTAAAGGAATTTTTGTTATAAGTAATATTTTTCTTTCACAGATTTTAAAGCCATCCGAAAAGAAAGCCAAGTACCAGTATGGAGGTTTGAATTCTGGTCGCCCAGTAACTCCCCCGAGAGGGCCACAGCCACCAAAGAAGAAATGATCGTAGGCCAGGATAGTGTGGGGCACCTGCTGATAACAGCTGTCCCCCTTTAAGGTGAAACCTTGTAATGTGGACAATATCTAGCACAGACATCAAAATCTGCCAGAGCTAGCAGATCCTATCATGTGTGGAGGTTTCATCATAAAGAGTGATCAGCTCTACTTGACCACTGTTGTCATTGTGTATGATAGACTGAGTGCCAGGTAGACGACATCCAGTGCTGGAGTAGCCTCAGTATAAACATTATACAGTGTATATAGCTTAAGTTTTATGGAGCATCTCAAGTTGTTTTGTCGGCTCTTATTTTTATGATGTGAATAAAATAAAAATGACAGAACTTAATAGCACCCTGTAAATGCAATGAGATATCTGTGATTAAACAGTGGAAGGCTCCGCAGATCCCCTGTATAGAAAAAGTTTTTTATTTACCTTTTGATGCGCTATTTTGATGCACTGTTAGAAGAACAAAGTGTTAATGTAGATAGCATGCACCAGGGAGTATGGAGGTATATCTATGCAGTGTGTGGAGTAGGTGTGTATATGAGAGACATGGTTGTATGTGAAGGAGATGAGAGCAAATGTGAAAGTGTGCCAGTTTATGTACGGAGAATATCTTAAACACTGACAGTAAGCATTAGACACCTGTAGCTCAGATTTAAGGCTTGTAACTGGTGAATCCTAAGGGATTTACAGCACATTATGGTCTCTTATGTGGTGCATGGACAATTCATCAAACATATTGCCACAATGTAGTTCTTTTTCTTTTTGTGTTAAGTTTCTTTTTTCCAGTGAACTATATGTACCAAGTGTATAAGTACTGTATTATTATCTAATAATCATATCCATGTATGTACTCCAAGGTTTACTTTTCATGTACCTTCCTTATCATAACCAAAGACTTTATATTATTTTTTTTTAATACTTGCTTCTGCAAGCCCAGAAAATCTGACGAGACACTTTGTAACTAAGTTAAAAACCTTATTATTTCACGATGATTTTTGCAAGCTGCTTAAAACTACCAGGAATTTCTCCATTGCACTGTTAATGGTTCCATGTGGCCCTATGCGCTAAGAAAAAATTTAATACTGATTAAGTATTATTAAAGTTTTTGAGGACGTTGGTGTATGTACATGTAATGCCTCAATCATGAAATATGATGTTGGCCTCTACAGCTACACCACGGCTAGTACATGATTATCTTGATCAGCCTGCATTCATTATAGAAGGCAGGTACTTTTCTTCACTTGAATGATACAATAATGAATATTTTTTCTAAACTGCATATATACTATGAATATATTTTCTTTAAATTATCATTTAAAAGTTAAAATAGTATGAACCTTGCCAAAATATTCCAGTCTCAGAGGTTACAAATCTGAACCCTTGATAGTTTTTCATTCATTAATGTATAATGATAATTTGTGGCATATGACTCTGGTCAGTACTGAAAATGTGATGTCAAGACTAAGGGACCAAATGTCATGGGCACTAATGTGATTAGTATTTTCAGAAGAAAACATTGAAATCCATACCATGAAGGCAAGGTAATGGCTGGAAATCAAGGTGAATTCACTCCAAGGCAGAGCCTTTTAAACATTTGATGTAGCCTTTGTAGGCAACTTTAAGATTATATCACAACAACAATTTTTGAAGTTGTGGTTATTGAAATCAGTTCATAATCAAAAGCAGTTTGATCAGAAAGTGGCTCATGTGACTAGCTGCCTCTAGAAGAATTGACAGGTAGTTTGGTTTAATCTCTGCAGCAAGTATTACCACAGTTTGTTACCCCAGATACTTGTATTTGTAATTGGATAACCAGTGGTTTGGGATAAGTTAGATATTTTGTGTGTATTTTTGTTGTGCTTTGATGCTAGCCTTTCTATGATGCACTGTAAGCATGTCTGTGGATGATCAAAGGCTTCACAAAACCTTCAGTGTACTAATTCCTTTGTTACATGTTTTTATTTAGTTTATTTATTTTTAGGTGGTGTGCTATTTTGTTTATCCAAAATCTGCTCTTTGATCAGTTTTGTTAAAGAAATTAATAGGGGATTTGTTACTCTTTGAAACTGACTGTCTTATTAAATGTACATGAAAGTGTGTGTGTAGGAATTGTGAGGTTCACACATACCTATAACTGTATGAAAAGAAAATTTCTTTTTTTTAGTTAAGAATATTTGATGACAATGTTGCCTGTGTGTTGATGGTGCTGTAGATGTTAGTAGACTAGACAATGCTACATAATACTGGTCATCGGACACACAGTCTGGACAATGCTATGTAATACTGCTCCCAGGACGCAGCCAGGATGATGCAACGTAATGCTGCTCATCGGACACCCAGCCTGGTCAATGCTGCATAATATTGCTCACAGGACACAGCCTGGCAATGCTTAGTAATACTGCTCATCCGACATACAGCCTGGATGATGTTATGTAGTACTGCTCACAGGACATACAGCCAAAACAATGCTATGTAATACTGCTCACAGGACACAGCCTGGACAATGTAATACTGCTTGTTATTGGCTACTGATAGCTGCATACTGTCGTAGAATCAAGGTTGTATTCATTAGATTTCCTGCTGTTCTAACCAGAATCTGCTACCATCATTACATTGTCAAATTTTGTTCAGAATTGATACCTGTTTGAAATCAGATTTAAAACAGAAATAAAATTGAAATCTCAGAATGTGCATTTGTCCATGATCTGGACTACAGAAATGTATGAAGATTTACATGTAGAGTTTCTCTATCATTTTTGCTGAAATAAAACTATCAGATGGGTAGAAGTGAATACATTTTTTGCAAGTGTCTCAGGCATTTCTTTACTTTTCATAGCTGAGAGCACTTGAGAAAGCCAATCATTGATATTTATAGCTATTGTTTCTATTGAGCAAGTGTGTCTGTTGTATACACCAGTTGACATCATTTTATCTACATGTCTCAACTGGAATAAACATATGTATCATAATTTGGATATATAGATCTTGTTTGTTAATAGATTTGTAGTGTGATGGACATGAGTTGCATGAGTACATACAACATTTCAGGTGATGATACAAGATGATCCAAATTGTAACACATTTTTCAAGGTTTGTTTGGTGAATATGTTCCATAAATTGTGAAGATATTTTATAAAATATTAACAAAATACACATATTTCTGTAAACTGCCTGTGGTATTATTTGTTTTATATAGCAATTATGTAGCCATTGACTGTCATACATGATACACATCAAGCATTGATTACACATGGTTTAGATATTTTGATTAAAGTGAAAAATATGTTCCACATAGCCATTTTAAAATTAGTGTGAATTATTTATATAATGATTCGTCGAGTTGCTGGAGTTAATTTCTGGTTTCTTAAAGTTTAACAAATTGAAGACTAACGTTGGTACACTGTAATTACAAATCCAAACTAGCTCCAATTTTCCTCTCCTGTTACTCCTGATTCCAGCAAACTTACATCCAGTCCAACTTATTGCTCTTAACACTCCAATCTAAGCAGATAATGCCAGACCTACCTACTGTCCAACCTTTGCTTTTTAACTCAACACAACATATTCCTGAAGTTCTTCAGGTAATGTCAAATATGTTGTCAACTCTAGCAGGTATTGCTCAACCTACTCCTGGACTCCCAACAGATAACGACAAACCCAACTTCACTTAGGCAAATTATTCCTAACCTACTTCTGAACTCCAGCCAGAATATGAACTGGCATATATTGCCAACCTGATCTTTCAAACTTGCACTTATATCTAGTCTACTAAAACCAGACTCCAAATATAACCTGACCAAGATAACAAATTTTTCATGGTTCATTGATACCAAATTTCAACCAAAATTACTTTGATGAGCATTAATGCATATAAAAGGAGTTTTTGTACCTACTTCAATTATATTCATAAGGAAAAGGATACAATTGTAAAAAATTTGGATGCCATTAGAAAGACCATAAACCTCTTACTCCCGGCAGTGTCATTTTATATAGATCTCCTTATCATAACATTTAATTTATAACAATCCAAAGTTTTTTCATTCATTCCTTTTTTTCTCTTTAACATCTGTACCCTAGATCAAAATTGTTGATGGATGAGTCAGGCTGTGGATTGTTTCCTTCTAAGCAGAGTTGTAACACTTATTGAAGTGTTTGTCTTCTTTCATATCTTAATAGTGGATGATTCCTAGTGATTTTATTATCATTGGTAGTAACTTTCATAAGTGTTCACTATCCACATGAAAAAAATCCAACCAAAAAAACAAGACAAGACACAATATTGATATCTTGATATAATAGAATTGTATCAAAATAAAACAAGACATTCACACTGGTGACAATGTATGATATACAGATGATGACCTTTGTAATGTATCGCAAAAGATGTTCTTATACACCCAAGATGTACACCATATTCAACCACTCAATGATCAAGTGTGAGAAGCCAAACTCTATACATTGTCTACCCCTGTTGGTGTGGGAAACTATTGCACGGTGTCAACTCGTACACAAATACTATTAAATATCGCTGGTATATATATACACAAGTTGAAACTAGTGAATCTGCTAAATCATTTTGTCAGCACCTAACTTTATACTCTAAAAAACACATCTACCATTTACTGCACTTTGTGATAGGCAAGACTTTTATTTGTGATAACAATTTTCTGATTAAAACTTTCTTTTATGATAAAAACTTTCCAACTAAATTGTACCTGTGTAGCTAGATGCTGCTGATTTAACGGTGCTTTCAATTATATATACCAATATATTTTTTACGTGCAGGAATTTACAAATGATGTCCCATTGCCTACCATTGAGGTGTCCTGACAGTTGAGAACATAAGTGTTTCTGGATTTCACTAAAGTATTGGAAAATCTGTAAAGTTTGGTCTGTCACACTTCATCTCGACATTTAAAATAACTTTTGCTTGCATTAAAAAAATATTGTAAACAATAATTGGAGACATCAACTAAAAGCTATTGACACCGTTGCCAGGGAGGTCTAGGGTTGGTACTTAGTACCCACCAGTGCCCCTGGGCTCCATACATATCTTGTTCACTCAAACACCCAATCATAAACAACATAGCAATTTTGACTTTTCAAGTATGAACCACTTGTGTTAATAATTTGTAGATAATTTAAAAAAGAAATTGATTTGCTACATATACAACATATACAAGATAATAACAACATCCTACAGATAAGGTTAACAAATTGGGTCCTACAGGCCGGGCGACAGAGGGGTACACACGCATACTACATAATAACATATTTGACCAATGATGCCAGGGGCTACCCAGCTGGGTTAAAAGTTGGGAGGATAACAAAGTATCACACAGGTCTTAACAAAAGTACAGCCATGTTACATGATTGCTGAAGGATCCCAGCTCCAACATATGGAACCTTGGCAGAAAACACAAGCTGATGTACTACAAGGTAAAATACAATCACATAAATGTCCTCCCACCCTCATCACAGAAATTCAAATAAAGGACAATTTCTCCAGTGGTAACTCAACAACAGCACAACATGCCAAAACACTTAACTATACACAGTATATAAAACACATACTCTCACATAAAACTGTTTTAAAACCGAGTTTTGTAATGCTACCCTACTACTAGAGTAGGTATACTAATTAAAGCTTATAGTCCAACCTATCATACCAACAGATCTTATTAAGAAATAAAAATTTTTAAAAGTTTTCAGAAGGTTGACCTTCATAAATATTTGTGTTGCTTCCCCAAACACCATAAGGCAAGTAAAAGATTTTGAAATGAAAAAGGAAGAGATGCTAAGATAGGGGATAAACCTGGGTTTGCTCTTGCCAGTCTGGCTAATAGGGTTTGATGTTAAGCCTGATTGACAAGGGGAGATCAAAATTGGTGTTGGAGGTTGCAGTAAATCCAATCCCTGTTAAGTTTGATCAACCAGGTTGAAAAAAGGTCCAAGTCTGATCCACATGTATTAAAAATCACTGTCAATCCGATTCTCAGCAACTAAAGTTATAATTAGTCCTTGTCAGTCTCTTCAACAGAAGTTGAACATCCTCATCATCAATCTTATTCAAGATTCAACAGAATAAATCAAAAAGAACAAAAGTGAACAGGTAGATATGTTGACAACCTGTTTACCATGACAACTAACAGACAGGCAACAACAGCTTAATAAACACACTGCATATAACAAAGAGGTTTCTATTAAATGATAAAATGCTATAAACATGTTTATATGAGGTTGTCACGGTAACACAAACCATAGTGGTGCACACTGATAAAAGAGTTAACACTTCCCAAACACTGTAACCACGGCAACAAAAACATAACTATCACAACATGTAAAGACATCATCAACAAATTATCTCACATACAAATTGTCACTTGGACAAATATGTGCCATGGAAGGTCAACTTACTGATGGTTTTATAATACAAATACCAATTTTAGATTATGGACAAGTAAGGAAAACCTCATCGTAACAGATACATTTCAATTATTAAACAGAAAAGTTCTTCCTTATTTCTGAAAATTTGGACTTTGTAAGCAATAACGCTTCAGAATTTGATCTACATTTAGGGTGATATCAATTATTATAACACTGAAATGACATCTTAATGTTGTACACTGTATTGATGGAAATGATTAAGGGCACTGCTTTTCTACAACTATTAAATGAAGATCAGTTTAGCTCATGGAATGTAAAAAAAAAAAAAGAAAGAAAATTGAGAATCAATTTCATATTTCAATCAAAATCTCAAAAACTGACATAAAACCTAATTCACTTGGAGGGATTGTTACAATTAAGAATCATGGAAAGGTGAAGGTAATTTTGTCAACTTAGAGTAAAAATTCATCATTGTTTGTTTTGGAAAGCATTGCAGTGAGAAAAATTGGATTTCTATTTTCTGATATTCTGTAAAGCTACAACTTCAGGACTAATAATTAAAATTTTTACTGGAATCATTTCTGAATCAGAGATACCCAATCAAAACCTAGTCACACCATCAGTATATGAGAAATGATTGATTACATCTAATAAATTCATTACAAATACATGTATGTTGGTCTTACAAGACAAAAAAGTACAAAATAGCCAGACTCCCATCATTCAACTGTACTTGAATACCATACCGAGAAGAGAGTATAAACTGTGTATAGCACTTGAAGGTGATAACATAGAAAAGACATGCTATACAGTACAGCTACCTAAATCTCACACAACATTTAGCCACTGGTACACACCGACTACACCACACTGGTGTCTATAGCAGACCAATCGTGATACAGAGTATGTACAGCAAGGGTTACAACACATTTAATAGACCTATAGTACAGTATAACCTAGATCTATAATAACATAGCTAGTAATATTGCAAGCCTGTGGATCTGTGTTTGCAGGCGTTTTCCATTCTACAGATAATGAACTATAAGTAAAGAGCTAGCATGGAAACAAGAGATATTCTGTTTTCAACCTGGGACAACACTCAATCTAAAAAGGAAGAAATTGCAGTGTAAAATGTTAAATGCTGAAATTTTTATGTGGACACAAATAAAGGTGCTGACAACCACATGCTTCTAACGTGCCCCGCCCACCTTTGGCAGTGTACACCTGGACGGAAACAAAATGCCAGCAAGTCATGCACAGGTAATGATGATAGGGGAACTAAAATGGATAGCTAAGTCCAACAGCAGACACCAGAACCCTGTTCTCTCCATGCTTTCAATGCCACAACCTGGTGCCTAGATAATTCTCATTTTGAATAGAAGTTCATTAACTTAATTCTGAAAATGACATGAACATGCATAAGGCTTGGTGCCTCAATACTGCTGGTGGTCTCTTTAGCACCTAAATTGTACAAGGGTGGTCTTGTGAAACCATCACAAACTTGAAATCTGTTCCAGTAAGTATCTAAATACACAAATTGCAGTTGTCAGGGAGACATTTTTACCACTACTCACTGCTGGGCACAAAAATAAGAAAGAGATAACAATGGTTAGACGAAACAGACCCCTCATCTGAAGCCCTGCTGTGGCCCCAGACATATACCCAACACATAAATTCTGGCCCATAAATAAATGTATATATTTCTCATTGCGTAAAAAATAGGCTTTGGCAAGTACAATATTTTTCAATAGTGTCTATGTATCTTACCAAACAGTCTTTTTGCTATGACCACTAACTACTTCACAAAAATCACTTTTTTTGGCAAAAAAAAAAAAAAAAAGAGGGGGGGAGGGGGGAATATATCTATAATATATATATTGTATATTCTTTTATCAATTTCATAATAAATTCAACAGACAGCATAATGACTGTCATTAATTAAACAATAAAACATTTCTGAAACATTGATTATGCTACTAAGTAGCTATGTAATGATTGGTTTAGCCACACAGAATTGTATGGTAATACATATTAATCAGATGCTTTTGATAGTTATGGACAAGTTGGAATGAAGCAACCTATCAAATGAACTACATGTAAAGTTTGCGGTTCTACACAGTTATATAGCACATTATAAGATGTAAATTTACAGAGAATAATTCTGCCTGCTCGACTTGCACACCATGTCTTTCACATCCGTCTCTTTCATTCCATACTCTCACTGTATCAGATCTACTTGTGCTCCAACATGTAATTAAAATAGAGATTTCTAAATGTAACCATCTGCACTGCAGCATTAAATGCCATCAATACAACTGTAAAGTACGTCAACCATTTGGCTTCCTGTTCCTCACTCTTCTGGAGTGAAACTTAAGGGATACTCCTCCTCATTATACATATCCATGATACATGTTTGCTAGAGACACAACCAATGCCCAAATGATGGCCAGACACCAGGAAACTGCTAGGTACCAGCCCAGTTGACCAGCTGAAGAATATTACTCCTCAGTAACGCTGTAATGACAATGCAATAACACAACTGGTTAGCTTTGTGACTGGCCATTGGTCAGTTGACTCGTAGTGTGTGTGTTTCCATTGGTGCAGCAGAATCGTACAATGTGTCAGTGTCTTGTGTCGGCTCTCCTTGTAGCTGACATTGATTGTTCAGAGTGCCAGCACCACAATCACAGAAAAATCTATCATGGCGTATAAACTCGACCTCATGGCCAGCATGGCAGGATTTTATACAGTTCACACAAATAGCATTGCGTTCTGTTGTATTACACGTCCGACACCTGTAAGTAAAACAGAAATGCTATTAAACATAAGGTTTCCACTGTAAATCAAAAATACTTAAGTATCACAATAAAAAAAAATCTATTTATCATGAGAAATTTATCAATACTAACGTTTTCCAAATCAATAATGTTCCTTTTTGTAAAAAGCCATGTCCAGTTTAAAGCCAGGAACAATGTACAGTGAGGATTAAGGTTCAATACCAACAGCTAGTTATTGCCTACAACCCAGTAATTTACCTGTAAAAGTCATGCATGGGAAAACTTGTATAACTGGAGATCTTGTACAAACACTGTCCTCTTGATACTGCCCTCTGTACCATGTTATGGTTACCACTGATAACATTATCTGTAACAAAACAGCAGTCAGTATACACAGATTACAAAATTATGTCAAGGTTTGTTATTGTAATACAGTGACTGTCAAACAAGGTAAGTAAATGTATTACAGAGACTGTCAAACAGGGAATGTAAATGTAATACAGAGACTGTCAAACAGAGACTGTCAAACAAGGTATGTAAATGTAATACAGAGACTGTCAAACAAGGTATGTAAATGTAATACAGGGACTGTCAAACAAGGTATGTAAATGTAATACAGGGACTGTCAAACAAGGTATGTAAATGTAATACAGGGACTGTCAAACAAGGTATGTAAATGTAATACAGAGACTGTCAAACAAGGTATGTAAATGTAATACAGAGACTGTCAAACAAGGTATGTAAATGTAATACAGAGACTGTCAAACAAGGTATGTAAATGTAATACAGAGACTGTCAAACAAGGTATGTAAATGTAATACAGGGACTGTCAAACAAGTTATGTAAATGTAATACACGGACTGTCAAACAAGGTATGTAAATGTAATACAGGGACTGTCAAACAAGGTATGTAAATGTAATACAGAGACTGTCAAACAAGGTATGTAAATGTAATACAGGGACTGTCAAACAAGGTATGTAAATGTAATACACAGACTGTCAAACAAGGTATGTAAATGTAATACAGGGACTGTCAAACAAGGTATGTAAATGTAATACAGGGACTGTCAAACAAGGTATGTAAATGTAATACAGAGACTGTCTATGTAAATGTAATACAGAGACTGTTATACACCATAGCTCTGATAAATTCAAGTCAGTCATGCTTCAAATACAAAACATGAATGTTTCAATAATAGATAATCTTATTTCTAAATTTGATAACATAATCCCATATTCTCAGTTTGATTACTGTGTACTGTAGTACCTTTTTGTTTTGGGTTGACTCCACTGGCGAGACAAAGCCCTCCAAACTTGTTGTTGAAGACTTTGTTCCCCTCCAGTGTAGCTGTAGCATTGTTGGTTATTTCAACACCTGCTGCATTGCCGTCAAATATTCTGTTCCTTCGTAACACTGGGTGACTGTTGGTACTGATGAGCACACCAGCCTGGGCATTCCTGAAGATGTCATTTTCCTCAAGAATTCCTAAACAAAAATGTAATACACAATGTTTATCATTGTTCAATAATGAGATGTTTTACACTAATCTTTGTCAACTCATCTTCTGAGTATACCATGCACAAAATATAGATTTTATTGCAGGTTTGCGATACATTACATGGCTAACTCTGGGAATCAATCAAAATATAGAAGTCTCTCTGTATAGAAGGAATGTAAAGTCCTGTACATTAAACGTGGATTCACCACAAAATTGACTCTGATACATGCGGCACAAACTATTAATTCTGTGGCTTTTCTTGAACCAAAAGTTGAGTGAAACCTTAAATCAATCTACAAGTAATTATTATCATAATCATCCCAAATTTTACCTTTTCCTCCATTGAAAATACAGATACCACCATCACGGCCATCATGGATCTTGTTGTGGCGAAGCACTGGATTGCTGTCTGTTTTAATCCACACACCAGCCATAGCATTGTCAAATATTTCATTACACTCAATCATACCAAGCCCACTATTATACACTAAAATACCACCATTTTGTCCTCCCCAAATCTTGTTTTTGCGAATCAAAGGATTGCTTCCTGTCCTGCAAAGCAAAGAAATTGAAAGTCATTTACCAACATGAAAGGAGTGTTGTCATTTGCTTGAGGACAAAACTTTTAGTCAGTGATTCTATTGCTTTTTATGTCTCTACAACCTTGGCATATCCAAGAAAGTTGTTGAAAGAATAAAAACATAAAAAAAAATTAAATTATTTCAATAAATGTAGATGATTGATTATACACTACACAGTTATACTAATTCCTAATCCAGTTTGGAGTGTTTAAGACAGTGTATGTACAGCTCCTGTCAAAAACAAACTTCATCAATAATACAAATATCTACAGCACTTTTAAATCCACATATTTCAACATTCTATGTATGGTAGTGGAAACAGTAATGCTGTTTTATAAGAAACATAAGAAATTACAACCAACCTTATCTGAACTCCAGAATATAAGTGGTTAAAGATGTCATTGTCTTCTAAAACACCATGTCCATTGTCGTAGAAATACACTCCAACCTATACGTAACAGGTATCATTATGTATATAGCCAACAACAATTACTTCACATTCTTACACTAATTCCATGTTCTATTAATATATTGTACATTATTTTAGTTTAACTTAAAATGATGTGAGGAGGGGGCTCACACAGATGTATTCCCTACCCCTGAGGGTCACTTAGATGTATTCCCTACCCCTGGGGATCACTAAGTTGTATTCCCTACCCCTGAGGATCACTAAGATGTATTCCCTACCCCTGAGGATCACTAAGTTGTATTCCCTACCCCTGAGGATCACTAAGTTGTATTCCCTACCCCTGGGGATCACATAGTATTCCCTACCACTAAGGATCACTAAGATGTATTCCCTACCCCTGGGGATCACATAGTATTCCCTACCCCTGAGGATCACTAAGATGTATTCCCTACCCCTGAGGATCACTAAGATGTATTCCCTACCCCTGAGGATCACTAAGTTGTATTCCCTACCCCTGAGGATCACTACGTTGTATTCCCTACCCCTGGGGATCACATAGTATTCCCTACCACTGAGGATCACTAAGATGTATTCCCTATCCCTGGGGATCACATAGTATTCCCTACCCCTGAGGATCACTAAGATGTATTCCCTACCCCTGAGGATCACTAAGAAGTATTCCCTACCCCTGGGGATCACATAGTATTCCCTACCCCTGAGGATCACTAAGATGTATTCCCTACCCCTGAGGATCACTAAGAAGTATTCCCTACCCCTGGGGATCACATAGTATTCCCTACCCCTGAGGATCACTAAGAAGTATTCCCTACCCCTGAGGATCACTAAGAAGTATTCCCTACCCCTGAGGATCACTAAGAAGTATTCCCTACCCCTGAGGATCACTAAGAAGTATTCCCTACCCCTGAGGATCACATACATATATATCCCCCATCCCTGGATCAGAAAGATAAATAGTCATTTTACTCTAAATCTGTTCTGGGGTTCTTAAGATATCTTGTAAACATGTTTTTTATTTCCAAAGTGGTAAAAGGTGACCTTTAACCTTCAACCTTGACCATCAAAACTGGACAGGTGTAGAGCTGAAATGGATGTTTGAACATTTGTAATGAGTACTTGTTTCTCAAACATTCAAATAGTGAAATGACATTTGAATATTCAGTAGGAATTATCTCCCTTTATCCCAATCATAGGTGGAAAATACTCAAGGTGTCTGAACATTTCCAATGTAGAGAAATTTAAAACTGAATATAAGCTACACTCTGTGGTTTTACTGTACAAACATAGCTAGTCATCTCAGAGCCAAACACCCTGTCACTTTGGGGTAATGTCATCAGAATGATGAAGGTGGTTAAGTGAAGTATAGTTGGTTACAGACTTCTTGGACGATGAAACAAAAAGACAAGCAGGCAGGCCCTGGGATAGACTTTTCCTGAAGATTCCACCTTCAGTCTTGTCTTACTACCCCCTCTTCAGATGTCTTTTTTAATGTGTTTCCAGATTCTAACTGAAGGTATATTTTATTGAAATTAAACATGCAACTTCTGAGATACTTCAATGCAATCAATACACATTAAATGAATACTTGAATACCAAAATCAACATTTGTTTCAGCTCTAGACCTTGCTGGTGTCATGCAATGGTGTAAATATGAACCAAATCAATCTAATGACTGACAGGTAAATTAAACTAGTATTCCCCAGGTGTCTAAAGACCGACAGGTAAATTCCTCAGGTGTCTAATGACTGACAGGTAAATTATACTAGTATTCCCCAGTTGTCTAATGACTGACAGGTAAATTATACTAGTATTCCCCAGGTGTCTAATGACTGACAGGTAAATTATACTAGTATTCCCCAGGTGTCTAATGACTGACAGGTAAATTATACTAGTATTCCCCAGGTGTCTGATGACTGACAGGTAAATTATGCTAGATTCCTCTGGTATCTAATGACTGACAGGTAAATTATACTAGTATTCCCCAGTTGTCTAATGACTGACAGGTAAATTATACTAGTATTCCTCTGGTGGCTCCTGATTCACATTATATAAGTTTTCCTCTACTGACCTGTTTTCCACTATGGATACGGTTTTTTCTCAGTACAGGCGTACTACCCGTGGTGATCCACACTCCCGCCAGAGTGTTAGAGTATACCTCGTTCTCCTCAATGAGACCTTGGCCCTTCTCATGCTGATAAAACAAAGTTTAATATCAATTAAAATTTATCTTCAAATAAAAAAAGTTACAAGTGCAAAGGAATTTATGTTTCAAAACCATTCTCAAATATCAATCAGATAATGAGATCACCAGGAAATTCTAGATAACACAAAGTATGGTAAGGATCCAATCACAAAAAAATATCAGAAAAAAGTTTAGAACAGCCCTATAAGGTTTAGCTATACACACTTACCACATAAATACCGCCATGTTGACCATGATGGATCTTGTTGTGTCGAACTATTGGGTTACTGTTAGTCCGAATCTGGATACCTGCTAAGGCATTACCTGAAAACCCCAACATTCAAACACTGATCAACCTATCTCAGGTGATGAACAAAGATTTATAAAACCTATCTCAGGTGATGAACAAAGATTGATCAACCTATCTCAGGTGATGAACAAAGATTGATCAACCTATCTCAGGTGATGAACAAAGATTTATCAACCTATCTCAGGTGATGAACAAAGATTGATCAACCTATCTCAGGTGATGAACATGATTGATCAACCTATCTCAGGTGATGAACAAAGATTGATCAACCTATCTCAGGTGATGAACAAAGATTTATCAAGAGGTGAAATTTAACTAATCCCATTTCTGTCTCCTTTAAAAGTGTGATAAATACACAAATATATTTCCATTCTACCATCTATACTTTACTACACAAACCCAACTGGTCAAGCACATGAATGTTACACATTCAGTAGTCACTGTGAGACATCCAACAAAAAGTAATCCTGGTACATATAAATGAAAATGAAATATTGACATTCTGTGTTGCATTTGCCTACATATCGTTACTAGCCTACACCAAATTTTAGTAAAGGAGACCGTGCTACGATTAACAGTGTTTCAGGCTGTGTAGGAATAAATCTAGATAAAGTAAATATGGAATATTCCCAGTTTTTGATTGATTTTCCTTTTTATTCTTTATATTTATGTGCAAGGAACAAAATACAAATACTAAACTGTTACCAGACGGGCGCCATTCTATCTATCTTCTGTTCCGAATTGCTTCATATCAACTGTACACTACATATCTGGTAACAGTCTACTGTTTAAATATACCTCATTTCAGTGCTCAACTCAGACTTCTGCTATTTTTAATCATGACGACCAAACTTTAATCAGGTACAGAGTGGTCTTAACTGTATATATTGTTGTATTGGAGGTCTACACCTCAGAATTACAGATATAAATGTGTTGGTGGACAAAACCTCAGGATTATCTACATTAATCATTGTTGTGTTGGAGGACTACACCTAAGATTTACCTACAGTAGATATTGTTGTGTTGGAGGACTACACCTAAGAATTACTTACCGTAGATATTATTGTGTTGGAGGACTACACCTCAGAATTACCTACAGTAGATATTGTTGTGTTGGAGGACTACACCTAAGAATTACCTACAGTAGATATTGTTGTGTTGGAGGACTACACCTAAGAATTACCTACAGTAGATATTGTTGTGTTGGAGGACTACACCTAAGAATTACCTACAGTAGATATTGTTGTGTTGGAGGACTACACCTAAGAATTACTTACCGTAGATATTATTGTGTTGGAGGACTACACCTCAGAATTACCTACAGTAGATATTGTTGTGTTGGAGGACTACACCTACCTAAGAATTACCTACAGTAGATATTGTTGTGTTGGAGGACTACACCTAAGAATTACCTACAGTAGATATTGTTGTGTTGGAGGACAACACCTAAGAATTACCTACAGCAGATATTATTGTGTTGGAGGACTACACCTAAGACTTATCTACAGTAGATATTATTGTGTTGGAGGACTACACCTAAGAATTACCTACAGCAGATATTATTGTGTTGGAGGACTACACCTAAGACTTATCTACAGTAGATATTATTGTGTTGGAGGACTACACCTAAGAATTACTTACCGTAGATATTGTTGTGTTGGAGGACTACACCTCAGAATTATCTACAGTAGATATTATTGTGTTGGAGGACTACACCTAAGAATTACTTACCGTAGATATTATTGTGTTAGAGGACTACACCTAAGAATTACCTACAGTAGATATTATTGTGTTGGAGGACTACACCTAAGAATTACTTACCGTAGATATTATTGTGTTGGAGGACTACACCTAAGAATTACCTACAGTAGATATTGTGTTGGAGGACTACACCTAAGAATTACCTACAGTAGATATTGTGTTGGAGGACTACACCTAAGAATTACCTACAGTAGATATTGTTGTGTTGGAGGACTACACCTAAGAATTACCTACAGTAGATATTGTTGTGTTGGAGGACAACACCTAAGAATTACCTACAGTAGATATTATTGTGTTGGAGGACTACATCTAAGAATTACTTACCGTAGATATTGTTGTGCTCTATTAAACCTCTTCCTTCGCCAAATATGTACACACCCCCTTGATGGCCATTGTAGATTTCATTTTTCCTACAAAAATGAAATAGTTATATAAAAGTCACACAAACAGCAGCCAAGAATAAAGAGAAGTCATCCTCTCTCCACTAAAAGATGGGTCTCTTCCTCAATATAGGGAGTTTTTTTAATGTGATGAAACAATAAGTGGAATAACCTTGACCTGTACCATGCTGTACTATATTACTGTTATATATGTAGTTTTATTGCCTTCAAAATGTAAAAGGACATTGTTTCTGATCTAATTTTCATCTTCAATAATTCAAAAAATTGTTGATCATTAATTCTTAAAATCAATGACTGTTTATTGTTTTTATTACCTTCTGTATAGTATTCGTTTATAGTTTCATCAATGCACTCTTTAACTTTTTGAAACATAAACTTTGCCTTTTTCACAAATAAAAATGAAATGTTAATTGAAGGTTTGAAACTTGTCCCCCATGTTTTTATAAAATGATCACTTGTAGAAATCTTAAGTTTGGGATTCACGACTATCAGAATGATCTTTAGTTAGACCAGGTGTGAATGGGACAATAAATTGGCTCATTATCCTGCCTCTTTCAACCCATCTCTAACTGTACCTATTTATTTCAAGGTGACAATCTACTTTGAACCAGGCCGTTTTTGCTCAGACTCAGATTCAGCCTTTAATAGATTGAGATAATTTGCTCTGATTTGTTTAGAACATTTTCACCAGTACCAGGTGGTACATTCTAGAGACTTCACAAGCACAGCATATGCTGTTATTACCAGCAGTGGATAAACAACTTAGAACAGCATACATGTACAATGATTTACATACCTGATGGTTGGATCACTGTTTGAGGTAATCCATACTCCAGCAAAGTTGTTTGAGTGAATTTTGTTTTCTATGAACTGACCACGGCCATTTTCGTGTACGTACACACCACCCGTCTGTCCATGGTGAATTTCACACCTGACGACAGTGGGGTTAGCACCTGCCTTTACCTCAAAACCAGCAATCCTGTTGTTGTGGATGTCATTGGCTTCAAAGTAACCCTATAATTTAGATAGATACACACAATGTTGTGGATGTCATTGGCTTCAAAGTAACCCTATAATTTAGATAGATACACACAAGGTACAAAGAAGTAACTTTCATATCAAAAGGAAAAACATTCCTAACTCACACTTTCAGGATAAATTTAGGATAGTGAAGTCAAGGTAAGCCATTAAGGTGAGAGTTACTCACCAGAACCACAATATCTATAAACACCTGAAAGTTCAAGTTTCATCCTCGACTGGAGATGTGTAGAAAATAACATTAATTTCTACTTTTGTATGATGAACAGGTTACAGAGGCTATATTTAGAACAGGAAGTTATGATGTCATTGTAAACATAACATCCATGTTTCTCTGGATATGACTACCTGGGAAGAACTAATGAACAATCACCTAGTTTAAACATTCATAATGATTATATCTGATTCTATTATACATTTCAATTTGCAAAAACAGTTTGCATCTTGTAGAGCTAAAAAATTCTTGACATAATCATGAAAAATTTCTAAATGAACCTGATGAACTTACCAGGCCATTATCGAAGGTAAAAATCCCTACATCTCGTCCATGGTGTATATGGTTTCTTCTCATTATGGGGTTAGCATGGTTCTTAACCCAAATACCTGCCAAGGCATTCCCACTGATTTCATTGTCTTCATAGCTCCCCTGAAAATAAGGAAAACATTAAAATTGAAGATGGCCAATGTAAAGTTTATCAATGAAGTAATTTATTTACTTTATCTGTCTTTTTCAGAACAAACATACCTGTGCAAAGTCGATGACAGATTTTTATCTGTACATAATTAGCGATATATTACCAGTGAATATTCATACCTATACATACTCATTGGCATATTTTAACAGCATTCTTACCTGTGCATAATCTGTGACATATTCTAATAGCATTGTTACCTGTGCAGTCAATAGCATATTTTAACAGCATTATTACCTGTGCATAGTCAATGGCATATTTTAACAGCATTCTTACCTGTGCATAGTCTGTGACATACAGCCCAACATTCTCACAATCCTTGATTTTGCAGTGTTTAATAACTGGGTCTGCACCTGATCCAGACACACATACAGCAGCACCAACTGTTGATAACATATAATTTCTGTAAACACTCACTGTTGATAACATGTAAATACAGGTTCTCCAATGAGCAATGCTTGTTTATTATGTTTATCTTACTTACTTACTTACTTACTTTCCAAATTTAGAAAAGGCAAAAGCTCAAGTGACTGTCTTTTCTAAATTTGAAAATTAACCAACTTAAGTTTGATTAACTTTTCTGTCAACACTGACTTGATATATTATTAATTTCTGTTAACAATGACTTGATATATAATTGCTTTCTGTTAACACTGACTGTTGATAATGTATGATGTATTTCTGTTAACACTGACTTGATGATATATTATTAATTTCTGTTAACACCGACTTTTGATGTATGATGTATTACTGTTAACACTGACTGTTGATAATGTATGATGTATTTCTGTTAACACTGACTGTTGATAATGTATGATGTATTTCTGTTAACACTGACTGTTGATAATGTATGATGTATTTCTGTTAACACTGACTGTTGATAATGTATGATGTATTTCTGTTAACACTGACTGTTGATAATGTATGATGTATTTCTGTTAACGCTGACTGTTGATGTATGATGTATTTCTGTTAACACTGACTGTTGATAATGTATAATGTATTTCTGTTAACACTGACTGTTGATAATGTATGATGTATTTCTGTTAACACTGACTGTTGATAATGTATGATGTATTTCTGTTAACACTGACTGTTGATAATGTATGATGTATTTCTGTTAACACTGACTGTTGATAATGTATGATGTATTTCTGTTAACACTGACTGTTGATAATGTATGATGTATTTCTGTTAACACTGACTGTTGATAATGTATGATGTATTTCTGTTAACAATAATGTATGATGTATTACTGTTAACACTGACTGTTGATAATGTATGATGTATTTCTGTTAACACTGACTGTTGATAATGTATGATGTATTTCTGTTAACGCTGACTGTTGATGTATGATGTATTTCTGTTAACACTGACTGTTGATGTATGATGTATTTCTGCTAACACTGACTGTTGATAATGTATGATGTATTTCTGTTAACACTGACTGTTGATAATGTATGATGTATTTCTGTTAACACTGACTGTTGATAATGTATGATGTTTTTCTGTTAACAATGACTGTTGATATGTATGATGTATTTCTGTTAACACTGACTGTTGATAATGTATGATGTATTTCTGTTAACAATGACTGTTGATAATGTATGATGTATTTCTGTTAACACTGACTGTTGATAATGTATGATGTATTTCTGTTAACACTGACTGTTGATAATGTATGATGTATTTCTGTTAACAATGACTGTTGATAATGTATGATACAATGTCTATTATTATAGCGTATAAAATAATTTCTGTAAACACTGACTGTTGATGACCCAATGTAGTATCTACGAAAAACGATTGTTGATGACAGACATTAATTCTGTATAGTTTCTTTGGAAATTTAACGAGAACCATGAAGGAGTCTTACCAACAGATGAACTTCTGATACGGAGATGATCTACAACGGGTGAGCAGTTCTCAGTCACTTCTAGAGCATAATGTTTATGGTGGGGAACTGTTGACGTAATATCAGGTGAAAACTGAAACAAATATGTCACACACTCAATAAAAAATTAAAACAAAAGTCACATACTCAGTAGGACATTAAAACACATCATATACTCAAAAGGAGCAAGATCAGAATATACAAGGTTGAAAAATTACTGCTATTCAATAATGAGGATTATAATAATAATGATGATCTTTTTTCATTATAAAGGAAACAGTCCTTACACGCAGAGTAACATATCCAAGGTAGGCTTCCTTGGCCCCCTCTACAAACATCACTGTGGATTCACTTTCTCTCTCTATCACCACATGGTCTATGACATTTCCAGGTGCTGCAAAAATGTAAGATTTGGTCAAATAACAAATGGAAACCAAAATAATTTTGCAAGTATAATACTTGATTCAAAACAGAAAGTATTGATTTCAACAGCTATCTGTTCCGATGAGTGAAACAATGTAAAGATTTTCCCCTTCTAGATCTTAATATCATAACAATGATATAACCAACCCTGTATGCTATTATTTTATAATAATGACATTATCTGCTCCTATTACAAGTCTAAATATGATGATGACATTATCTGCTCCTATGTAAGGTCTGTCGTAACAATGATATTATATTTTCCTACCAGAGATTTATTTTAGCAATGCCTCTACTTACTCTTTAGTTTGGTCTAACGTAATTAAGCACAAATTTACCTGCTCCTATTATGGAAACATTGGTGTCCACGAAAAGGTACTCCCCTTGGTACAGACCGGAGTGGACCAGAATCAGAGGGCACTCAATCTCCTCAGCATCAACAAAACTGTATGCCTGCTCTATTGTCTCAAAGCACTGAAAATCATCAAGAAAACAATGAACATTAAAGTAACAAAAGACCCAATAGGCCTGCATTGCTTACCTAGCATTCAATACTTTGTAATTTGCATTGACATCACTGGCACTCGAAATGTGCCTTATAAACCAGCTTTAAAACTATCAAGCATCCAAGACTTGTCATTGATGGATCCTTGTTCTGGTTAATAAATTTAACTCCTGTGACCTTTAAAATGATCAAAGTATAAATTTAACTCCTGTGACCTTTAAAATGATCAAAGTAATTTCTTTTGGCAAACTTTGACAGGTTTTGCCCTTAGAATCTACAATTTGATCATTGTGGCTTCAGGCCTCCTGATTGATCTAATGAAGTTTTTTGGGTATGTAAATAAATTTGGCTCCTGTGACCTTTAAAATATGTCAAAATACTTTCATTTTTGCAACATTTGTTTGGCTTCAACCCAGGGACCCACCTCTTGAATATCATAATTCAAGGTCATTTGATTAATCAGATAAAAAATTTAAAAAATAAAAAATAAAAAAAAAATACTTGACCCTGTGACCTTGAATTTAAGAGGTGGTAATTTCTTTTCATAGACTTTGCCAGGCTTTATCACAGAAACCTACGAGCCATATTTGATGACTCTTGGTCTCTTAATTATTGAGAAGCTGTTTACACTTCACCATAGCATAATCTTGTTTGGTCCTTCAGACTAACAGAGCTAATAGACAGTTAGAAATACAGATTCCACATTACAATAACCACACTGCCACACAATTCAGTGACTTTAAGGATTGGAAGAGATTAGATACTGCCTTAATGTACAAATAAAAGATAATTGTGTCCTTCTATGTATAGCTGAAAAAACATAAACATGTTATGTGTTATGAATAATAAGTCGCACATGATGTTGTAATAAAAGCACTTAAGCTGCCACCTACCGTCATGTCCCGGCCCCGTAGTCTCCTCCCACGTGAGTGGTCCATGTACATTTCTTGAAAACCAGGTCTAACATGAATTCCTTTATACTTTTAAAAATAAATAAAAACGTAAATAAGTAAAAAGATCAAGAACACAAAATGAGTGAAGCTTTTAAATAAACAATTACTTTTATGTCTCTAAATAAAGTAATATAATCATATACAGTAACTATGATCTTACAATCAATCACAGATTAACTACTAGTTGGCAAATACATTTCTTTTTAACTGTATTCTGTCAGAATACTAATACTGTCATTCTGTTTTGAAATACATTATTATATTTTTTACTTACCAGATGTTTAAAGCTTTCCTTCCATGGATTTTCATATTCATTCTCATGTGGTTGTACAAAGCGAAAAACTCTCGGTTCAGGATGCATCAGAGGAAAGTCATACTCAAATATATCCTGATAAATATCTTTCCTGGTAAAGTATCAAAAAAGTATAGTCATAATTTGAACAAATTCATGTCTTGAAAAATAATCAAATCATCAAATTATACATATAACACTTTTGTTCTATAATTACATTTTCAACTCACCATAGTTCTGTGTCATTAGCAATGCTACGAAAACGTTTGCAAACACATGCAATTCTACAAAGATCAAACTCCAACAGGTAACTAAAAATCTTGAGCAGTACTTCGTCTGGTAAGTCCTGTTGAAGGTAGTGTGCTCCAACCAGGCATCCTTTTGAAATTAAAAACACAAAGTTACAGTATAGTGATCTCCAAGTAAACATGTCAAAACCATAATCAAACTGTCAAGCAATGAGACAAGTACAATCCAAATGCCTGTTATAGTGGCCAGACACCAGTGTATCAGTACAAAGGAAGTTTAACTCAATACAGAAGTTCTGAGATATCAATGACAGAAAACAATTGTCTGTTTACAAAATGAGCAAATTATCACAAAACTTAGAATTGCTATAAAATTTACTTAGTCAACTGTACTACAAAACTTAACATCTTAGTAACAAAGCCATTTACAATGTGAGAAAGAACAAGAGCACATTTTTCATACTAGAAATACATGTATGACTGAGGTATTCTTAACGAAACATAGACCAACAGTTCTGGTTTTAGCATTTTATAAGGTTGCAGTCAAACAGCTGAGGATCAACAACCAGACAGCAACTTTTTATATTGTTTTATAGTTATATCAGGTTGTATAAAAAATTCCAGTTGAGGGACAACAGATAACAACTTTTTATAACATAAACTTTGTACATAGACATACAGCTGATGAACAAAGAAGTTTTAACAGATTTTACAAAGGTGACACATTCTTGTAATTTTGTTGATTAATTCTCAATTGCTTTACCTTTCAAATATGGAGCAACAGAACGAGTGGACGATTTTCGTCTCCTCTTAGCTGGTGTACAGGATTCAGAGAGACTGTTACTTCGCACCCCAGTGTATGGACTGGTGCTGGCCTCTGGTTGGCGTTTACGCAGGTTGTATCGCATGTGACATGGCTTACTACTAGAGTCATCCTCATTGTCTGTGTTCTGTGTGTTGGCATTTCCTGCAACAAGTTCGATATTGAAATTTCAGTCAATAAAATAATTGAACTTTGATTTACAGGAGATTTTCAAAACACAGAGCATACAACCTATATCATGATGATCAGATCTACAGGAAAGTTCTCATTTACACTGGCTGAAATGCATTCATTTCTACACTGAACTTGATATGATATGATATTGTAGTATCACTGGTAGGTTATTTCATATATCAGTGTTTTGTCATATACAGTCATCAGAAAAATGCAACGAGAATACATGTACTGGAATCTGAACCAAATATCTACACAAAGTTATGGCCTGAACCACTTCACTTTTATTAATATATACTATAATACTTTGCATATTTTCCCAGAGAAATTATAAATTGATTTGGATCAGAAAAACCTTATTAGAAATGTAATAGAGGTAATTAATTAAACAGTATATTTTTAATCAAGGGTGGGGTTTACATGTTTTTAAAGTTTACACAAGTAACATTAATTTGTAAGTCAGCTCACTTATACAGCTATCAGCTTGTGTCTGGGCCTATATATATCATAATGAATTACAAGAATCAAATTCTCAATTCAGTTTATCACATCATTGTTTGAAATAACATTGGCAACAATCTCAGTTAAGATGTATTTCCCAGTGCCTATACTTACTTATTATGAAATCAAATAATCTGGATATATGTAGAACTAAAAGGAATTATCTAAGAGTAATGCTATTTGAAACAATAGGCATAAGTACATAAAAACTTCTAAAACGTCGTTTATGTGTATATGTATACGGAGTCTTTTCAATCATAGGTTGGAAAATATTATTGATCTCCAATTTCCTTTAACTTGTAGCAATATTAAAAAATATGAATATTGAAATGAGTACAAAGGATATGATGAAAACTGGGATGTAGTACCACAAGAAATAAAAGATTAACGTAACACATTTGAGAGCGATATGCTTCTTAATATTAGGAAGAATGAAACTGAGATTTTTGATAACTCGTTGCCATCGATTTGATTCACTCTTGATGTGTTTATCTCAAGACTTCTGAGTCAAATTATGTGCGGTTACCAAAGTTATGTATGGCAAAACAGGCATATTACATCATTTCAAATTGTTCAAAGCAAAATTCAGCTCGTGGTTCCTCTAAATGAAGTCTGGCATTTATCTCTTTGTGTATGCCATGTTTAATATATTTATAGGTTTGCAGATAACGTTACACTCGCTAGTTATACACAATGACCTCAACAAAACTTACCATCATTCTGGCGTCTCGTAGACGCTTGTTTCACAACTGGTCGCTTCCGAAGCTTTCTCGTGCTGTATCTTGTTGTTCTGGCAGTGTGACTCGACATATTGGACCAAAATTGTGGCCAATAGTTCGTAAAATATCCACAGACGAACGGAGTAACTTCATCTATGTAGCCATATTGAAATTTATTCCCATCCGACTGGCTGTTAATTACCTAAGTCACATGACTATAGTCAGCCAATGAAAAACTACTTCCGGGGATACCCAAGGAATTTCCTTGCAAGGACCTGTCAGGTTGTCCACAAAAACAGCTTTAGGGTTTTCTGCCCCAAGAAATGTTTTCTATGAGCTAGACAATGCAAGTGATCGTTTGTAATGAGTAGCCGGACTGGATTTGACCTTGGACAATATGGCTACAAAACAATGCCGAAGGACTTGACGAAAGAAGAAAAACGACTCCTGTCGTCTGTAAATATCAAAATCGAAGGGAGAAGTTAGATTTCACGAGAATCATTTCAGTTCCTACCTTCTGTATATCCACTTTATTCGCCTTAATTAATTTCATCTTCTTCTTTAGCATCGACAGCAAAATCCTGCTCTATTTATATAAAACACACGAAATACTGGTTTTGGAAATTTTAATGTACAGTGTTTGATTAATTATATGATCCCTTTATCTAGGCCTATGGAAACTTTATAAATTGCATGCACATTATCATTGTGGTGATTATATATCTTAACAGATTTCAGCAAAAATAAGTACTTGACAGAAATAGTATACTGATATAGACTAAAGTATGAGTTAAAACGTGATATATTGTGTAACAGGAGAATTGCTTTTACACAGTAGTGAAAATAGTCTGTTACTCAGCTGATGGAGTATGCTTCTTTTGCTCAGTTGGTAGTTGTAGAAGACCCAGCTTCGACTCCAGGTCAGGGCAATCAACAGGAGTGTGTTTTCCCCTTGTTCTTTCAAAATTGCAAGACGGTAATTAAGGCTATTTAAATATATATACAGGTTTATACGCAATTGCTGTGTTTCTAAGAAACTTCAAAAGTAGAACAGTCTGTACTGTCTCAGTTTTTCAGGATGGCATGTGGACCTCCCATATGTTGTTTATAAAGGTAGCTAGTAACCACCCACAACTGCTTGGAGACCATTACCTAAAAATGATCCTGACTGTTGACGGGGCAACTCAGCAAATTAACAAATTTAAGGCATACACCCTTACCCTAATTAGGTACTCTAAGAATGTATAAGCCTGCTTTAAGAGAAATGTGGCAGACATTTTACAAATGTTTTTCCTTTTCAGGTTTTCCATCAAGTGGATCTTGGAGGCAAGGGGATTTTAAGCAGAGAAGACTTGAAGATAGCTATAGCAGAAATATTTGGATACAAACCATCTAAGGCAATGCTTCTTTACAGAGATTTCCAAAAATCAATTTAAAAGTTTTTTGATGATTGATTCATCAGACTTTCGTTGGAGCTGCATACATTGATCATAATAGTTGATAAGAATAACATATCTCCTCAGTCAACATACCAATTGTTTTAATATCAATTGATTGAAGGATTTTTTCAATATTTTTTATCTACTTCATTTCAATATTGCATACATTGTCCACCTCAATCTTTCAATCCATCTATGGTTAAAGTTTTTAGTTGTTTCTATGTCCCTCCCACTTATTTTTGAAAACCTTTAGTGGGCTGTCTGTCCATCTCTCCTAAGGATCAGTTATTGCTCTGTCCATCCTTCCCATGCTTAAATCCTTAAGTAACCTCTCTGCCCATCCCTTGTATGGTTAAACTTAAGTAACTACTTTGTTCTTCCATCCTATGGTTAAAGCTTCAGTTACTACCTGTCCATCCATCCTTTGGTTAAAATCTTTATTTGCCATCCTGTCCATCCCTCCTATGGTCAAAGCTTCAGTCACTACTCTGTCAATCCCTCCTATGGTTGAAGCATTTAGTGGCCTCTGTACATTCCTTCTATGGTTTAAACCTTTAGTCACCTCTCTATCCATTCCTCCTATGGTTAAAGCTTTTAGATGCCTCTCTGTCCATTTCTCCTCTGGTTAACGTCTCTGAATAATATCTTTAGTGACTTACTCTGTCAATTCCTTCTATGGTTAAAGCCTTTAGTCGCCTCACTGTCCGTCCTTCTTATGGTTAAAACCTTAAGTGGCATCTTTGTTCATCCTACCTGTGGCCAAAACTGCAGGTACTACACTGTCCATCCCCCTAAAGCCTTTTCCTGTATTTTTTTTCTAAAAAGGATTAGATGTGTGGGTTGTTAAAAAGGACCTAAGAAAATACATATATACTAAACATGATGATAAAGTAGCTTATTTTTCTATTGGAATCTTAGCTTTTCTATCCATACTGTTTTATTTGAGGATCATTTCAGAATCGCTCATTTTTAGCCAAATTCCAACACAAATACAGCTTACAATTTGATGTGAAGTAATGTGTTCCTTAACTGTTTTTGTTTACTTTTTATTTTGTGTTATGATTGTAGCTGAGATAATAGGCATACAGTAAACAAAATTTGTCATCAGCCAGTCTTAAACAATTTTGTTATTCCTATTTCTTGGTCGATAGTTTTGCTCTTTTGATTTTTTTGTCTGGTTGGATAAACAAAATGTTTGATAGGTGGCTGTATCAAATTTTGTTTAAGGAAGATTTTTATTGCTCTTTCTTGAATTTCACATGTATGTTTCTTTTGGTTCCTAGTTATGCCGTTGCAATTTTGAAACTGATCAGAAAAACAAAATGACTGAAAGACATTAATGTAGTGAAATGCTCTTATAAATACAGTAATATATTTTCTCAAAAATAGACATGTGATCAATTATGATCTCATGTAGCCTACATAGGTATAGAACTTGTGATCAAAAGATTATATAATCAACAATTATTTTTCCAGCTTGAAGCCGATCATTTGATGAAGAGTTATGGAGACAACACAGGTAAGTCAGATGATGTTTTATGTGGAGCATAATATTAACATACAATCTGGAGTCTCATTGATTTGATATACAAGTCATTATTTTTTATTATTTTTTTTTTTAATTTTAAGTTTAAATTTATCTTTTATGCAGAAACGCAAAACAATAATTAGATGACAAAATATTAAATGTACCACTGAATAAGTGAAAGATGTTAATTGAGCTACAATTCAATGTAGCTTTTGCAAAAGATATATAATCTCTGGTTAAGTTATGGTGTAATTAATGTTCTAGGACTGAGTCTGCCAATGTTCATGTCAGCCATGACGGAGAAAATATCCAAGGCTGACAAAGATGGAGACATCAGACATACTTTCATGGCTTTTGATTCACAATGTAAGTTCGTTGGGTGATGCAGGGGAGATAACTTACTGTAACAGAGCTCTTGTGAACCAAAAAACTCATCCTTTGACTGTATTTATGAAAGTTTGTCTTTTGTAAATGTATTTTTAAAACAAAAAACAAAAAAATATCCCAAGAGTTTCAGTTGCATTGTCCACTATGTCACATGATTATGTAGGCTACATTTTACATTAGCAACTGGATTTCTTATTATAAAGACATACTTATTGTGATTTGTGATAGCATTATCTCCCTGGAATTAGAATTATCTCCCTGGAATTTTCTAGTTGACATGATCTTATTTGGAATCCAGATTTTAAGATAAGATAGCGCTTAACCTTGTGGTCAGTTGGTGTTGGTTATACACTTAATCAAACTTGCTGTGTGTTATGACTGTTTTACCAGGTCATGGTTTTCTGACTGCTGAAGACTTGGAGAAAGCTGTCAGCTGTGTGGCACCCCATATTCCCAACCACAGTATCCAGTCTGCTTTCAGGTACTTACATCATGCAAGGCTGACATCATTACAGTTAATGATTAGACAGGCAACATTTTGTAACCTATAGCTTAATTTTTAAAAGCCCTAAAGAGCATGTGAGTTAATTTTCAAATATAAGCATACATATTGTAAAACCACTTTTGGCTCTAACAATGTGTTGTAATTTTGTCATAAAACTAACAAAATTAACATGATGTATTATGTATTGTTTTTGCTATATTAATGTAGGGAGTTAGACAGAGATGGAGACGGCCGAGTCAGTTACAAGGATTTTGACTCCATGATGAAGTACAACAAATCAGAACACTTGTAATTCACTTCAGGGACAACATAGAACTGATATTATGCTGTACTTGTGTTTTTAGGCATATCCTGTATCACTAGGGTTTTAAAATATTGTCTATTTATGAATGTTAACCTAATACAGAGATGACATTGAACTGAGCCACTCTGTTCAGACTATCGAGCCATTTGGCTGCAATGTTGCATTAATGGTAATTTATAAATTAGTACTTATGCAGTTCCTTTGAAATCTTGCACACTTATATATATATTCTCTCTTTATTCTTTCCTGCTTCAAAACATTTGGATAAAATAGCTTGGAAGACTTAGCATTGGAACCTACTGCGAAATTTCCATTGTTGATAAATTTTGTCTGTGACTTAAATGATTCTACATTTAAATTGACGGATATTTTCAATTGTTCCATACTGTTTCATTGAGTAATTTATTACTTATAAACATTTATATACCACATTGTGTAATAAGTCTGGCTATTAAAAGGGAACATCTGATATTTATTATATTATTTTGTGAGTTTATTTGAAGTCCCTTATATACCAGAACTTCTAACATTTGCTACATACCTTTGGTAGTTTTACCTTTGTGATATTTTTTTCTGTACCATAATCGTCTATGAATTGTTCATACATTTACTTAAGTTTATCTCCTCTTGCCATTTTTTATTATATTTATTAAATGTGATGCACACAGTCTGTAATGAAAGGTGACTTTTAATTTTTGATTTATCTTCGTTTTTGAGTATTTGATAGGAGTTATATTTTACTTTCTATTTGTAAGCTTTTTTCTAATTTACTGTTCTTTATTTTCTTGGCCAAGGTTTTTGAAAATATTGTGGATACCTATTGGTAATTTTTGCACTGTCAATTTTATACAAAAAAATCTATTTTCCAATATCCAGGTAGGAGCTGTTAATTCAGCATGTGGCCTACTCTATTTTACATATATATAAAGCTAGACAGTCAGCAGTGATGTTACAAGTGAGAATATTGATGTTGGTTCAGAACTCAAAATTTTGTTAGTGATGGTGGCATACCCACTATATTGATGTTGAAAGTACTCCAAATACACTCAGCTCTGTGTATAAAGGCCACGTGATTGAGCAGAGAAAAGTAATGAGCTCTGTGTATAAAGGCCACATTAGGGAGCAGAGAAAAGTAATGAGCTCTGTGTATAAAGGCCACATTAGGAAGCAGAGAAAAGTAATGAGCTCTGTGTATAAAGGCCACATTAGGGAGCAGAGAAAAGTAATGAGCTCTATGTATAAAGGTCACATGAGGGAGCAGAGAAAAGTAATGAGCTCTATGTATAAAGGTCACATGAGGGAGCAGAGAAAAGTAATGAGCTCTGTGTATAAAGGCCACATTAGGGAGCAGAGAAAAGTAATGAGCTCTGTGTATAAAGGCCACATTAGGGAGCAGAGAAAAGTAACGAGCTCTGTGTATAAAGGCCACGTGTGGGAGCAGAGAAAAGTAATGGGTGCTTTCTGCTGTTATATAGATTACTTTGAATTACATTTCTTTGTTAGTCTCAACCAGCAGTCATACATATGCACAAGTATTAGCTACAGTACACATAGAGGTAGCCTTTTGGTCAGGTTTGACTGTACATGTATTGTTATGACACAGAATTTGTTATTATCAATGCAAATATATGATACAGTTTTATCCTAGAATTATAAATATTGTGATCAAAGTTAAGCCATCACATTGATGCCATTAAACTCCAAATATTGTCAAATCTAGTATACTTGGACTATTGTTAATATTTTTGTTGGAGGAGAGACCTAGTTGTATATATATAAAAATGTGTCTCAATATGACAATAGAATTCACTACCAATGTCTGACAGTAGTCACTCACCCCCTCCATTTCCTCTCGTCAGACATCTGTATGGAATTGTCACACATCTGTATCCATCCCGCCTCCCCTATTGTCAGACATTGGTATGGAATCTATTGTCACCCACTCCACTGTGCCACCAGAAATAATTATACCGGTACTGATGTCTCATATCATATAGATATGATAGTAGAATTCAGAAAAACAAAAATGTGACATGTAATATAGATAACAATGTTGTAAGGACAGTTCAGTAATCAAAGGAGGAAGGTGATAAGACTTCTGGTAGAGTTGGTTTGATATAGGTATTGTACAGTTAGATAAAGTACAAATAAAAATTAATACTCGTGAAAAAATACTTGTTTTTGTTCTTGGTGAATTGGCCAGATAAGAATTCTCAAGATTCCTCATGGACTTCATACAGAAATTCCAAGTAATGTGGATGAGTTCCATGGCTTATTTCTCAGCATTATTAACCATGTGAGTGCCTGGTATTTACTATCTGGTATTTACTTCCATCCGAGTCATCAGGGATGATTAATGTAAACAACAACAATGGCATTTTGGCATTCCAGGTGAAAGAATATACTGCTCTTGAAAAACGTCTGGCTTCCAGAGTTGCTTTTTACCATTTTACCCATCATCATTATTTGGTCAGCTTTTCAAATTACTTCTGTCTAAAATCTGTCAACTATGGTCTGTCTTTCAGTTATTGAACTATCTGTCCTACACAACTCCATTATTCTCAAGAAGTTCTATAGTTTCCCAAGTGGTGGTTCTCAAATTTTTTTGATGCCTTCACTCTTTATGGTCCTAATATGTGCAGGAGACTGATTGGAATCATTTCTAACATTCATGTACCATTTATATAGTTCTTTTTAGCTCACCGGTAACAAGAATAAGTGAGTTTTTGCTGTGGTACGGCATCTTGCATCCTTTTCTCTTTAAACAACTTCTTCTCAATAACCAAAGGCCCAGGATACTGATATTGGGTCTGTGGCATGCTAGGATGAAGTGCTACTAGGTTTGTTCAAATGAGCTACCTTTACTCTCTTTTAATGCCACAGGTGTCGGATGTGTAATAAAATCTTCCACTGACTTCTCAATAACTGAAATGACCAGGATACTGGTATTGGATCTGAGGCATGCTGGGATGCTGGGCTGCCAAATTTGATAAAATAGATAACCTTTATTTCTTTCAAGGTCACATGGGGTCAAATGTTATAAAATGTTGAAACAACTTTTTGTCAATAACCAAGAGGCCAAATTGATGATAATGTTTGTGCTCAGGAAATGGACTCTCATGGTTGTAGATTTGGTGATTTTACAAAGTCTTCTTTTTTAAGATGCATAATTAGTGTGTGATGCAGGCCCATTAGTCCACTTCTTTTCTTAGATAACAAATAGAAGAATGTTTCTTTGTTGGTTCCTCTTAATTACTTTTCTGAGCATATGAAAATTGGATCTGATAGGAAGATCAAGATGGTAAATTAGTGGTCATCTTGAAAGTTACATTTCCAAGTTGTTCTTGGTGTTGCATGAATTTGCTGTTTAATAGGGATAGTGATAGTTCAGTTGGTATATATAGAGGTTTGGCAAACATGACCTAATGTGAAGATCTGGAGTGTATGGTTCTCAAAATTGCCCTGGTGGATGTCCAAAGAGTGTAATACCCAGCAGCAGACAAACAAGATATATGGTAATGGCTATTAAGTAAGGTTGTGACAGATCAGCAGGATATGATAACGAATATAAATTGTATTCTGGTTTTGCCATTACATCAGAATAACATACTCTCTTTGAAATGACAGCTTTGATGGAAGTTATATTTTTGTTTTTGTCTGACGGGATGAGTGTCAATTTGTGGATTATTAAAGGACAACATATATTTTGCAAGTAGTGCAGGAGGAAAAGCGATCAAGTTATTAAGGAGGAAAATAAAAAGTATCCGACGACGAGGATGGGATTCGAACCCACGCGGGGAGACCCCAATGGATTAGCAGTCCATCGCCTTAACCACTCGGCCACCTCGTCTGGTTACGTTCGTTGCGTGAGTTTAATTTATTTATTACTAACATGAATGTCTCGAGGTCCTGGAATTCCGTGGTGGTTGGTGTTCTGTTATAGGTTGAGACTTCAAACGCTTGAAGAATATTCATCTGATTTCATACGTGTAATTTGTGACCTTAAAGCAAGTTGTCAGTTGTTGTGTGCAATATAACACGACAGCGTGATTCGTTTACAAGTTTATTTCCGGTGCACTTTTAGGTCACACAACCTGGATGTCAGCTGCTATGTTAGCCTGCTCCATAATTTAGCGGTGTCTACAGTCGACTGTGGCTGTGTTTGTTATATTGTACGGTAAGTCATTGTGTATGTTTTATGACCTAAGTGTTGCTTTGGTTAATTGGCATCGCATATACGAGACCGCGTACTGTGTCCACCACACCTGTCATCATTTTGTCTGTAGACAATCCCCAGAATCCTGTTAGTAGGCCTAGTGCTTATGATCGTGACCCAGTGTAATACCAAGACCTGGTATCTTAGATGTTAGGCCTTCAATTTACATGTTTCCTGCCGATCTAAATGGCCAGTAACAAGGGCTTTGATTTTCTAGACTAATGTTTAGTTAAATGATGTTTAATAGTCAATAGACATGTACTGTCATGAGTCATGAATGTTTATTTGATACTTTTTCTTTAAAGATTCGTTCCCTCTTATTTTCGTTTTTTTTCTTTCTTTAAAGATCTGTTCCCTCTTATTTTCAGTTTTTTTCTGTAGAGATCTGTTCCCTCATATTTTCCTTTTTTTCTGTAAAGATCTGTTCCCTCATATTTTCCTTTTTTTCTGTAAAGATCCGTTCTCTCGTATTTTCATCCATTTTCTTTAAAGATCTTTTCCTTCTTATTTTCATCCTTTTGCATGAAAGATCTGTTCCCCCGTATTATTGTGCGAATCGTTCCTGTGAACATACATGTAATTTGTATTTTCCTGTTTCACTAGTAGCTCTGTTAATTACAATAATAAACTTTGACCATCGGTAACTAGACAACAATTTTGTATTTTGGAATCCGTTCCTACCTGCAATATTACATATTCTAAATGTATATCAGTGATGTATGTCCCTGGATGAAACATCTTTGGATGTATAGAGAATAATAGGTTCTTTCCCTGGTTTGAGGATAGGACAGAGAAATCTCTACATGAGGAAGATATTCATTCTAATCCTAGGCTTTTCCTTTTCTTATTCCTTATCTCCAATGTGCTAGAAATATATGAATAATGAGACAAATATTTACTGACAATTATGGAAACATGATCAGGCAAATAAGAACTTTAGTTTTTATTCTGACTGATTTGTTATCTACATTGTACAAAGACTATCACAATCATAATTCAATGTCATAAAACTAATTAGAATAATGATAATCAGATACTGTCCTACAATATTATTAAACCAGTCACATCTCAGATTTACATCTTCTGGTTTAACACATTTTCTGTGCATGCTGGGTGTCATTCCCCTGGTAAGACAGAGATACTTTACTTTCACTGGAAGTGTGTATATTTCCGTCAGATAGGGTAGAATACATGGTCAGTGTTATAAAATATACCTGGTAAGCTGTATTTTGTCACAGCTACCGGCGAAGAAAGACAAAAGTGGTGAGCCTGGTAAAGTGAAAACTTGACAACATTTTGACTTAGGAAAATGGAAATGGCCAATAAAGTTTTGTAAATATGGCATTGGTTGTCACATTTTTTGAAAAGTCGGCATGTTCGACTTATTCATTGTGGAGCACAATTTTCATTTTCTCAAGCCAAAATGGCTATTGACACAATACTATGTTTTTCATATGTTTTTTATTAAATAGTAAGGGAATTCTTAATCGTACAACCAACATTTTATATGCAAATACAGGCACACTTTGACCAACATGAGCATGCGAAAACCTGTCTTGAGGCTGTAAATAAAGAGGGCTTTGAGACAGAAGCACAGAGCTTTCCTGAAATTTAAACTGATAAATACAGAATCTTTCGTCTGGATATATTAGATATTTTTCCATTCTACCTGAATTTTAAAAAAATGTTGGTTGATTAGGTTCCCCTGTTCTAATGTAACAAGAGTTTTATATCTGAACTGCAATATTTGAAAAGATAATGTAAGGAGTTAGTGATCACTCCCCGTTGAAGTTTAGTGACATAGATTTGGAGGTGTTTTGTGAAGCTAATGTACTTTGGCAATTGAATGGTGTTTTATGAAAGTTTTAGAGAATGACATGTAATTTATCTGTTGACTCGGACCACTCCTACAGACACATCTTAAAAACAAATTAATAGTAATCACCACATTCCCAAAACTGGATTGTTTCACCAGATCAGTGTTAATTTACCTTGAGTAAGTGTAATGACAGACAAAGCCAGTACCTGTTATCAAATAAGTTGTCATAATTGTTTCCAATACAGAGGGTAGGTGCAAACCTGTTGTGACACCATATCAGGACCATTTATAAATCAATCCAGTTTGAACTACAAATTAAATATTGTAAGAACGTTTTTGTGTCTGATAAGGCATGTAATGTCAATAGTAGCATAAGTAGATACTTATGTATAAACTATAAAACACCATTTACCAGGTGTAATGAAATTCTCGCTTGTCCAGGATATTCCTTTCAGATCTTACCAAAGCTGCTACATTTATATGTGCTGTTTTTCATATGCAAACGATCTTACTTACTCTTGGGAAATGCATGTTATTGATTCTGATATACAAATACAAAGAGTAATTCAATCTACTTGCACATTTTATGACCTTTTTGGAAATCTCAGCAATTTCCTCTCCATTTTTGACAACACTATTTGCATGGGAATTCCTCCTGAGCAGACAAGCTTATTTGACAGATAATATTTGTTATGTCATAAGCAAGCCTCATGTAAAATCTCAAGAAAACCTGGATTCTTCGATATCTCTAAGACCCCACCAAGTGAATTACTGTGATGTTGTGATGTGTTTAGCTTTGCCTCCAATGTTAAACTGTATGGCCTCCTCACTGGAACGAGCATGTAAACATAGTTAGAAAAAGAATTTTTTATAATTTTCAGTGGGACTGGCTGGAGGGAGTTTAAATTTGATATATAGTTAAGTATAAGATGGAAGGATGTAGCAAACTTCTTTCTGGCTTACCATACTGGTTTCCTGTGGTAAAGCAGAAGGAATGAGGAAGTGGTCAAGGAAAACCAGAAACTTGCCTACATTACCGTAACTGTTATATTATGCCAGTATAAACAAAGAGATAACATGGCATGTGATAAAAGTTGAGCCATGTGTATAGTGTAACCAAAACCACTGAATCGGAAA